GGGGTGCCCAGGGCGGGGGGGGGGAGGGGAGGCCCTGGTGGGGTGTGGGGGAGGGGATACCTGAGAAGGGGGGATCCTGGGGGATGGGGATACTCGGGGCAGGTGGGGTGGAGGGCGAGGGGAAGGGATGCTCTAAGCCCAGGGTGGGTTGTGGGGGCGGGGATACCCAGGGCAGGTAAGGAGAAGGACAGTGGGAAGGGATGCTCTGGGGGGGGCGTTACCGGGGGCGAGGGAAGGAGAAATACCAGGGAGGAGGGGATGCCTGTGAGGGGGAGGGTAAGGACCAGGGAAGGGGGATGCGCTAAGCCCAGGGTGGGTTGTGGGAGGGATCCCTGGGGTGAGAGAAGGGGGAGATGCCCAGGGCAGGTGGGATGCAGGAGGATAGGGGATGCCCTGGGCCTCGGGTAGCTGAGGGGGAGGAGATACCCAGGGTGGGTGAAGGGAGAGACTGCCCAGTTGTGGGGAGGAAGTAGGTGTCCAGGGTGGGTAAGCGAAAGGGGGGAAGAGTGGCCCTGGGGTCTGGGTAAGTTAAAGGGAGGAGGGTGCCCAGTGGGGGACGCCTGCGGTGGTTTAGGCAGGGAAGGGGAGAGGAATTGCCTAGGTACGAAGGGTGTTCCAGAGAGGGGAGGGAGGATGCCTATGTTCCCCTGGCTGAGGGGAGGTGAGTGTGGCAGGTGCTTCATGAGCTGGTGCCTTGGTATAGCTGAGTGCCCTGTTGTGGAAGGTGAGTGGGCAGATGGCAGCGGCTGCCTAGTTGTAGGAGGGAAATGGATGAGGTGCTGGTGGTAGCCATGGATTCTCTCCTTGGGTATCTGCCTGGGTCCCCTAGGCAGTGCATGTGTGTGGTGGCAGGTAGGGGCCCAGAGATCATGGGAGGAGAGGTGGTTGGGCACTAAGAGAGTCTGGGGACCTGTCCTAGGACTAGGCAAGTGCTGAGGGAATGGGGGCTTTGCTTTGTCGGGGGTGCTTCTCATGATGGCTTTTTGGCATCAGGAGTCCCTTGGTTATCGCTGTATGTCTGCATTTTCTTCACTGCTGCTCATGCTCTCATGGGCCCTGTCACTCCCAAGCATCTGGAAGAGGCCAGATCCCCCATAAAATAGGTTAGTAACCTATTTTATCTGTCCTCGATTCTAAAACACCTGTCCCTGTAGCACTGGCCGTCAGAGCTAGTATACTGACATTATTAATAATTCTTCATATAGCACCAGGAGCCTGCTGGGTGCTTTCCAGACCAGAGCGAAGTCTGTGGTTTGGGTGGGAACAGCTTAGGTTCGAAGGCCAACTTTCCCAAAGGGGGCCAGTGATTTGGGGGACCTTAATTTGTTTGGGTTGCCTGCATCTTGGTCCTGATTTTCAGAGGTGTTGAACAGCCCCAAATCCTGGTGACTTTGATTGCAGATGTGAACGCTGAAAATCCCTAAAAATCAGGACTGAGGTGCTGCACTCCAGTTGAGACTCCTGAAACCACGGGCATCATTTGAAAACATTAGCCTCAATGACTGAAAGGCCCTTTTTTCAGTTGTGCTGTGCTCATTAAAGGTGTAGGTATTGCTTGATCAAACCTGAGGTGAATGGAGCAGATGGGGTCTGTAAAGTCAGACACCACTAATCTGACACCACCTGTGCCCCATTTGGCTTTCTTCTGACTTCAGGAAAAGACAAGGTGCTTTACCCTACTGCCGAGCCTTGTGCTTTGTGCGTGGCGGCTATTTCCTTCTCTGCCTCTCTTCCAGGCTACTCCGCAGTGAAAAAAACTCCAGTAACTACTGCTGCTAGTGATTTTTCCCAACAGGCAAAATGAAACTGATGTGAGGCTGATCAGTTTCGTGGCTTCTTGGGGAAGATCTGAGCAGCAGCAGAGGCACTGGGGCTGTGTCTGTCTGCAAACTGAGGCCTGGTCTACACCAGCATAGCTAATGTCGTTTGGGGAGGTGGTGCCAATAGAACTTCTCCTTCCGGTGATGTATGCTGCTGTGCTGATGCACTTGTGCCGGCATAGGCTCTGTAGTGTAGACATAGCCTTAGGCAGCATTGTGCTGCACAGGGCTCTGGTCACGTTTGAATGGTTGTCTGCCCAACTGTAAGAGCTAGAAATGGAACTTCCTTTTTAAAAAACAGGAAGCTTGGATCTCTGTAGAAATAAATGGCCTAGTCACCCTTCAGCTCTGCTCCTTCAAGCCTCTGGAAGCTCCCTGCTCATCCCGGGTTTTCCAGCCTTGCTTTTGGGTTGCACTAATGCCAGTGGCCTTGAATAAATACGGGGCTTGTCTTACTGGTGCTCTGATCGCACTAATTTTGCTGTCTCGAGTGAATGAACTCCTGTTGTACTTAAAACCTCAAAGGCAATAACCCTTCTCCCTTTCCCCAACACACAGGTCACATCCTTTGCTAAAACTCTTAGAGGGATTTATGGTGGGTCCAAGTCCCTGTGAGCTTCTATTGTGTTTAGGGATTGGTCAGAAACCACCCCCTTTTGGGGAGGCTGGGCAGGTTCACCCTGATGGGCTCTGCTTCTGAGCTGGGGTTGCAGCTCTTCCAGCTGTCTTGGAAGTTCTCCCTGCCCTACCTGTCATCTCAGTCACTATCGAGATGTTGACTCCCTCCTCCGACCAGTCCGTGATGCCAGCCTCTGTCGTCCTCTTGTTGCATTTTCAAACAAGTGCCTTCGTGCTTTGTCCCATCCTGCCTTTCATGTTTGGGAGGCGCTCCCTGTAAACCTCCACAACGCTACCTCATTGTCCTCCTCCAAGAGTCTCCTTAAAGCTCTGCTTTGCTGTGGGGCCTACACAAAACCCTGCCCGTCGTCTAGACCAACATCGTTTCCTTGGGCTCGCCCATCTGTCTGTATCCATCTGTTGTCGCTTAGATGGTAAGCTTTTTGGGGCAAGTGATTGTCGTTTGTGTGGCACCTAGCGCAGTGGGCTCTTGGTCCATGACTGGGCCTCCTAAGTGCTACAGAATACAAATAATAATAATGTAGTGCTGTTCTAGCTGAGCAGACAGTCAGTGACGCTCATGTCGCCATCTCTGGTCTGGGAGCAAAATCCCTGTTAGACCTTGTCTCCAGAATCTTTCCTACCCTGTGGGACCTGCCAAATCCCAGACACTCAATGGGTGACTTCCACCACAGGGGGTTAGCTTTGGGAATGGGTGGTGGCAAGGGGCCGTCTTTGGAGCCGGGGGGGTCAGAAAGGTCTCAGAGTTGTGCGAGGGATGGTGGGGCTAAGAGAGCTGGAAACAGCTGCAGGGTGGATCAGTCCAGCTGGGTTTGATTGCATGGGTTAGAGGAGGCAAGGTTTCTTTGAGGGCTCGGGGAGGAATAACTGTGTGTGTGGACACAGTGTGGCCTGGGGGGTGAGGCCAGCACTCTGTTGTAACCAAGTGCTGCTTTCTCTCTTCTCCTCCTCTGTACCCCCTCTGAGCTTTGAAGAGTGCCTCTGTTTCCAGTTCCTGGTGTCTCTGTACAGCTTTCCCCCGGCTGGCGTATTAGCATCAGAGAGTGGTGTTAGCATCCAGAGGGTCAAATGAAAACTATCTTGCCACTGGCATGTAGTCTTGGCCGTTATCTCTTTGTAGGTTTCTGTCTTAGTGGAGAGTAATAGAGGAAGTGTTTTCTTGTGGTTAGAGCTAGGACTGGGAGTCAAGACTCCTGGGTTCTACCCATTGGCTGGGAGTGGGAGCTTAGAGGTTGAAGCAGGGGCTGGGAGTCAGAACTCCTGGATTTTCTCCCCTTTTCTGCTGCTGACTTGTGTATCCTTGGGCAAGTCGCTGCCTCTATCTGTGCCTCAGTTTGCCCCTTTAGAACAGGGATAATACTTAACATGAGTGGTGCAAGACTTTCTGACTGGTTTATCAGGTGCATTACGCATGCTCTAGCATTCGATCGTAGCCTGAGGTAGGAGAACAGCAGCGCCTGTCTGGCTCCCAATCCCTCAGAGTAATGTAACAGTTCACACCGTGTGGGATGTAGGAGGGCCAGTGTAGGAAGTACGTACTGTTGCTGTCTTCCAGTGATTCGAAGAGCCAGGCTTCCAAGGCCCGTGTCTCCTCTGATGTCTGGCTAATGCTTTATGGCTGTCTTGACTTTTCAGGGGCAGAGACAGTATCTTGGCTGGGGGACTCCAGGGTCTCATGCCACCTGTTGTATGTGCTTGGTAGCTAACTTCTTACCCCCTCCCTTTCAATAGGTTGACTCTCACAGCCATAATGGATGACTTGAACCTGCACTACCGGTTCCTGAACTGGAGGAGGAGGATCCGGGAGATCCGGGAGGTGCGGGCTGTCCGCTATCAGGAGAGATTCAAACACATTCTCGTCGACGGGGACACACTGAGGTGACTGGCGGGACTGGCAAACTGGAAAGTGGGTGCAGAGCAAGGAGCAGCCATAGCAGGCGATGGCCTGCAGCCTTCTCGCCTGGCACGGGGAAGGGGTCCACTGTGGCTGGCTACCGTCTCGCTCTGCCTCTGCAGCTAGGGAATGAAGCAATAAAGTGAAATTGATGAGGTCTCTGAAGGCCTTGCTTGAGAGCTCCAGTCTGATCCTTTCTCTGCACTGGGTGTTGCACCCAAAGGTGTCGGATGGATGCTTTAACTTGAACATCTTCACTGAGCAATGATGCATCCTGGGGTTATGCCAGTGGGTTGAGACTCACAAAGATTAGAGCTAGAATTGGCTCATTGTATCCATCCCCTCCTCCATCCAGTGTTGCTGGTTAGGACGTGGTTGTGACGTACAGTATATTCTCCTGTGCTTTGTCCTGACTAATTAATGTCCCACGCAACAAGGCTTCCCTAGAGGAGATGGATTCTTTTCCTGGCATCTACCTTAGGCATTCCCTTTCCCCTCTCCGTACCTCAGTTTCCCCATCTGTACATTGGGATGGGGGGAAGGCTACTGACCCACCTCACCGTAAGGCATAAGTGTGTGTAACATGCTTTGAAATCCTCTAGAACTGCAGAATGTTATTTGCAGACGTGGTGTTTCCAAGGCCTGGCAGGCGGCTGATTGGACCGAGCTGCCAATCCCATAAGTAAGGGGAGCTGTCCAATCTGCTTTCTGAGCCCTTGGGCCTAAATGTTCCAGAGTGACTTGTGATTTTTGGGGGCCTAACTTGAGACACCTCCAAGGGGCCTGATTTCCAGAGTGCAGGTGCTCAGGTCTGTCTGAGAATTGGCCCCCTCCAAGGCATCTCAAATGGGGCACCCAAAATTGCCAGTTGCTTCTGAAACTCCAGGCCTTAGTCTCCTGCCCCGGGGGCACTTGGCGATGAATTGGGTAACGACTGTTCCATTCGCTAGTTCAGCTGGCAGGTGAGCATGACTGGCACCTTCGCCAGATGGGTGTGGTCGACTACCCAGACCCTGCCATCCCTTGTCGTTTAAAGTGCCCAGATCACGATGTTTAAGTAACCTGGCCTCTTATTTCTTGTCTGCAGTTACCATGGGAACTCTGGGGAGGTTGGCTGTTACGTTGCCCCCCGCCCACTGACCAAAGACAACAACTACTTTGAGGTAATCTCGCCTGCTGGGGCTGGGTGAACTCCCTGGGTCGGAGCTGAGCTAAAGATCCTTCCGTGTGCTTGTTGTTCTCTCCTGGTGACACCATCTTTTGTCCTCTCTTGCTAGCCCAGCGTGCTGGGTCTCGGAGCTCTGCTGGCTTCACCATATGTTCAGCCAGGGATTTCTGTACTGAGATTCTTGGATGCTAAGACTGGAAAGGGCCTCCTGCGTAACACCAGCCAGAGACTTTCCCCCAGTTACCCCTGTAATGAGCCCAGTAACTGACTAAAGCTTCCCTTCCAGAGAGCCATCCAGTCTGGATCTGAGTCCTTAAGAGATGGAACCCACCACTTCCACTGTTGATTTATGCTGGTGGTTAATGACCCTCACTGTAACAAATTGGCGTCCTGTGTCTGGTCGGACTGTGTCTGGCTTTAACTTCCAGCCATGGTTCTTGCTCTGCCTTTCTCTGCTAGATGATAGAGCCCTTTAGTACCCGATGTTTTCTTCCCATGAAGGTACTTGGAGACCATGATCAAATCACCTCTCGATCTTCTCTTTGATAAGCCAAACAGCTCAAGCTCCGTTCTCGGAGATGGAGCCTGGCCTATGCTGTTGGTTTTTTCTCCATTCTCCCTCACTTGAGTCTAAACTCTCTCGCCACCCCTGTTCCGGGAGGTGCAGCCAACTTGTCATTGTGCAGCGTGGCGGTGCCCTAGCTGATCACCCAAGCCACTGTGTTGGCGTGAGCAGGTGCCAGTGAGGAAGTGCTGCTGTTGGAATGGAAAAGGATTGTTCTCGTAATTACTTGCAGGTGTCGATTGTGGACAGTGGTGTGCGGGGGACCATCGCCGTGGGCCTCGTGCCGCAGTATTACAGCCTGGACCATCAGCCGGGGTGGCTGCCTGATTCCGTGGCCTACCATGCTGATGACGGCAAGTGAGTTGGGTCCCACCCTGCTGGCCAGAGTAGCGTAGCGTTGAGGCGTGGCTGGGGAGCACATTGGCGCATGTGTCTCCTGTGGCATTTCCTGAGCTGCTGATTCAAAAGGGCTGGAAGGAGTGGGAGGGGCACAGATTGCTTTGGCTGAGGGGGCTTTAGGTGCTGGATGCTGTCAGTGGGGCTGTGACTCTTGTGTGGGGTGAATGGGGGGTTGGGTGGATGCAGGAATTAATTTGATCAGCAGTAAAAGCCCTGAGCTGACAATCATCCTAAGAACAAAAGAACGGCCGGACTGGGTCAGACCAATGGCCCAGCTAGCCCCGTGTCCTGTCTTCCCACAGTGGCCAGTGCCAGCTGCTTCAAAGGGAATGAACAGAACAGGGCAGTTTATTGAGTGATCCATCCCCCGTCGTCCAATCCCAACTTCTGGCAGTCAGAGGTTTAGTGGGGAGACGACACATAGCTCGCTCGACACGCAGACATCCCACCTTGTGCTGGAGCTGCGTGTTCCTTATCTCTGGTCAAAAGGACTGTGTAAACCTGGAAAACGTGCCACGCTGCTACTGCCGTGGCATGTCTGGTGCTGTCAGCCCTAGTTTCTTAAGCAGGCATCAGCACCCTGCTGGGCGCTCCACTGAGCTGCGCCATCTGCTTCCCTTCCGAGGCAGCACCACATCTGTGGTGAGGTCTGTACCCTCTGTGCTCATCCCCTCATGTCCAGAGGGGAAGGACGGCCAGGGCTTAGGGCGCCAGGCTGGCACTTGGGAGACCTGGGCTCAAGCCTCTCAGACTTCCGGGGTGATCTTGGGCAAGTCATGTCGCCACGCTGGGCCTTGGTTCCCCATCAGTACGTGGGGATGACAGCCCAGCCCTGCCTCACACATACCATACGTTAAAGATTGTGGAGTGCTCAGAGCCCTGCTGATGGGGGCCAGATAAGTACCTAAGATGGATAGACGGCCAGGCTGAATTAGCTGGATACCAAGCTGTCTGGTGTCCAGGTGGCTTCTTGCAGGGGTCAGTGCAACTGCACGGAGGTTAGCTGAGTGCTACCTGGGATCACCTGGACACTTACTATGCGAATGGGAGGGTTACTCCATCGACGATGCCCTGACAGCGCTGTATGTCGCTGCGGAGGCCCAGGGGCCTATAGTCGCGAAGTGTTCCTCCCTCCCCTGCGTGTTCATTTTGCCCTTTGTGCCGAGCCGGGGTGCGAGCGAGTCTCCCTACGATGCTTTCCGAGGTCATTCCTTGCTCTTCGCACCCGCAGGCTCTACAATGGCAGAGCGAAGGGCCGGCAGTTTGGGACGAAGTGCAGCTCGGGGGATCGGATCGGCTGCGGGATCGAGCCGGTTTCTTTTGAGGTCCAGACGGCCCAGATATTCTTCACCAAGAACGGAAAGAGGGTGAGAGCCGCTCGGTAGAAACGGTTGTGGATCCGGCTGGGTTTCTTACTGCTTATGGGGGGAGGGATCCGTCGAAAACCAAGTTGCCGGTGGAACTCTCCCATCTGCAGAGATGGGCAGAATGTGTGAGCTGCTCTTCCTGGGGCTAGATCCTCTAGATTAGCAGCAGAGCAGGCTTCCTCCAGTGACATGACTCAGCTGTGACCCACAGAGACCCCCTAACCCCATAGGTTCAGCTCCCATGGCTAACTGCTACTGCTGGCAGGATCGGCTGAGATACCAGGGCCCTGTCGTGCTGTGAGCAGGTGACACCAGAGGTACAGGAGGCTCATGGAGGGTCTTGCTGGCTGTATCCCGCAGGTTGGCTCCACCATAATGCCGCTGTCCCCGGACGGGCTCTTCCCTGCCGTGGGGATGCACTCGCTGGGAGAAGAGGTTCGGCTCCACCTTCACGCCGAGCTGGGCAACGAGGAGGATGACAGTATCATGATGGTGGACAGCTATGAGGACGAGTGGGGCCGGCTTCACGACGTGAAGGTCTGCGGCACGGTGAGCGAGCTGATTGGCTCCCTGCAGGGGCGACCCGGGGCAACGTCGGCCTTCAGCTTGGGCGCAGGCTTTGAACCTGGTCCTTCCTTAGAGCTAAGAGAACCCAGTTCCTGCCATTCCCCCTGCCCGCGGTCTCCTGCCCCTCTGGATTCCAAAGAGAGCTTCTTAACCCTGTGCCGCAGGTGCTGCGGCCCGGGATCTACAGAGCACGTGCTGTGCAGGGTGTTGGCTATAGGCCCAGCTGGCAAGTGATCAGGGTCCCCTTGAGAGATTGGCCTCTCTCTACAGCAGGTGTTGGGCTCTGCGCTGGGGGGAGGAGTGGTCTGAGCTTGGGGGGTTGGCTTTGTGCTTGCGTTAGTTTGGGTTCTTACCGGGGTTACCAGGGGCTGTGATGTCAAACAGGGAAATTCCTCTGAATCCAAGAGGCCGGACTAAGGGTCTCTGGCAGGCAGGGCACAGGTTGGAGCTAGGAATAAGGTTTTAAAGATTCTCCTTCTCTGCCTTGTAAGCTACAGTGGCTGTTGCTGTTTGTACCGCGATAGCCTCTAGGTGCCCCAGTGTCCAGCGCTGGACAAACCCAGAACAGATCTGCCCTGAGTTGCTGACAAGCTAAGTCTAAAACGAGAGACAACAAGCGGATACAATAATAGGGGAGCCTAAGGAACCAAAGAGACCAAACATCTTTTCTCCCCAGCTGCTACTCAGAGAGGTAGCATGGTCTAGTGAACGTGGCTGTGCACTAGGAATCTGGAACCGTTGGTTCTCTTTCCAGTACCTCAGTTTCCCCTTGTGTGAAACAGGGACGGTGATGCTGATCTGCCTGCGTACAGTGCTTTGTGATCTGTGGGGGGGAAGTGCTGGCTAATTGCTAGATAGAATTAGCATTACCCAAGAATGTGCAGGCTTGTGTGATCTTTTCCTCCAAAGCGAGATTGCTGGCGCTGTTAATTTCACAAACGCACAGATGCTTATTTATTTTTAGCCAAGCTTCAGGTGGGGGTAGTGCTGGGGATTTCCCCCTACTCCCTGGAAATTCATCAAAGAAGTGGAATTGTTCCAAGCAGCTCCTTTGAAAACCTTGCTTGGCTTTGCTTTTCGGGCACTCCTGGCAGCGATGCATGATCTCATAGGTGCCTTGGAAGTGATCACCTCCCAGTTAGAGGGTAGAGCCTTGAAGTCTTTGCCAAGGTCTCTCAGTGCCTCCTTTCCGCTCGGCACTGGGAAGAAGCAGGAGCTGAAAATTTGGGACTAGCTGTGTATGATCTGTGCTTAGCTTGGGAGTCCAGAAGTCACTGGTTTGGGCTCTGCTACGTTACAGGCCAGACACTCGCTCCGTCCCACTCGGCCTAGGGATGAAAGCCTTGAGGTCTCTCAGGACTCATGTCTGCCGTTCTGCCTCACAGATTTGGGGCATCTTTATTAACTATCTATAACTGGGAGCTGTTTTCTACCAAGATCAATTCTGAAGATGTGCCCTAGTCCTGAAAGCATTTATACTGATGCACCAAGTGCTTCTAGCCCTGGCTGGCTGTGAGCCACAGGGCTTTGCAATCGCTCCAACACCACGCTTCAGCCATCTTTGCAAAGCACGGTGAGATCTGTGGATAAGTGTTATTAGCCCCTTTTTACAGATGGGGAAATTGACCAGCTGCGATCTCTAGGGCAGTATAAAATCTGGGAGTCCTGACTCCCAATCCCTGCCTTTACCTACAGGGCTCTGCGCCCTCCCAGAGCTGGGGATAGAACCCAGGAGTCCTCACTCCCTTTCCTCTGCTCTCACCCATGGGCGGCCCCGCCCTTAGAGTTGGCAAGGCCTCTTTACTGATCCCACCAGGTGCAACGCCTCGCTCTGTCATGAAGAGGGCTGCAAAGCTAACGAGCCAGTCGGCTCTGTTTCAGCGTGAGCCTGTGGAAGGGTATGAACGCGTGCGTGGGATGCCCGTCTGTCATCGGGGCTGCTGTAATACAGTGAGCTTGGCAATGGCATCCTTCTCCCTGCAGCGCCACCCAGTAAAATCCCCACTGTAGGGTGCTCCTGAGAGCGACGCTGCAGGTGGAGTCCCACAGGCTGGTTCGCTTGCTGCTGAAGCTAGCTGAGTAATCCAGGACCATGCGTCTCCATCCTTGCTGGGAATGCTGGCCTGGAGTGGGGGTGACAGCCCAGGTCTCTGTTTCTGTTTCCCAGCTGCCATGGTTACCTGGAGCGTGGTCCCTATAATTATGGGGTGGGTTTTACCCTGGCTGGGGGAGGGTGAGGAGCAAGTCCCTCATTGGCTGTGGGCAAATCTCAGGCGGCCACGTGACGATCTCGCCGCGTGGCTGGGTTGTCACGTAGCTTCCGGGCCTTGGTCCCACAAGCCCAGCCTGTGGACGTGCTTCTTGCTGGTGTGGGCAAGGTCCAGCACTAGGCCTTGTTCAGCCCCTTTCCCTACCTGCAAGGGTACAAGGCTGACGATCAAAGGGGGGGATGGGCCCAAAGGGATGCGGGCCGAAACAAGAGCCCACCTCTTTGGCCTTGCCGGGCATCTGTGCAGGCTTCCCAGCAGAAGCTGGCTCCTCAGGACGTTCTCTGCCCGTGCTCTGCAGCATTGACCCCTCAACATGGGTCCCCCCGGAACACTGCTTCACTCCCCTCCTTGCCTTTGGGGAGCAGGGATCTCTGTGCTCCGGCTGCTCCCCAGAGCTAGTGGGGGCAGCAGGTCGGTTCATCACCCGGCATCACAGGCGAACCCAGCGGCGGGGCTGGCGGTAGCTGCCATGTTGGCGTAGCTATAGGGCCTAACGCTTATCCTTGCTTCCGGCACCCTGCTGCTTTCGGTAGGGTGAGAAAGGAAACTGCTGAACGTGACGGTGGATCCTACCTTGGGCATCTGAATCTCACGCTTTCTTTGTCGCTGGGTCTGGATGCTCGCTGCTCTTTTAGTGGGGGTAGAGCCTGTGGCTGCTGCATTACCCCAGATGCTTCCGGCGCACCCCGAGTCCCGCATGTTCAAACAGCTCCGACGCACGCTGTCCCACGGCAATGGGAGAGCTGTGGTTAGAGCAGGGGGCTGGGAGTCAGGACTCCTGGGTTCTATCCCTGTCTGTGACCACGGGCAAGGCTCTGCCCTGACTGCCCCTCTTACCTGCCCTGTAAAATTAGGGCCAATAATATCTGCCCACATCACAGCGGGGCTGATGAGGCCGGCTTAGTCTGGGGGATTGGGGTGACTGGCGCTGTAATGCAGTGCCTGGAGCCCGTTCTTGTTCGTGAGAGGACTCTTCCCAACGCCAAGCATACCATCTCCTTCTCCTCCCTGGTCCGGCCAGGGTGGAAGGCATCAGTTCGAGCACAGGCACTCGTTGCTTGTTGGTTACTAGGGGAAATGTCCCTCCGGAAGATACCCCGTGCTCCCCTTTTGCCCTTGTACTTTCATCTCCTCTTTCCTCTGGGGATCCCAAAGCCCTCTGGTAGAGGAAGACAAAGGCAATCCTTCCTTCACAGATGGGGAAACTGAGGCACGGAGTGCGGGGCGGGTGTGGACGTGACTTGCCCAAAGTGGTGCTGTCAGTGGGGTTGGAACCTAGAACCTTGTGCTAATCACTAGCTGCTGCTGCCTCCTCTTCCCAGCTGGAGCTCTCGGAGCATTTCTACCCTCTCACCAGAGTCTTTTTCAAAAACAAACTCGGGACCCAAACTTTCTCCAGCTGTTAAAGGATTGCAGCTGTGAATGCAGGCCCCACGTCGCAGCACACGTGACGGCCGCTCGTGTATGCCGGATGGAGCCGGGCCGGACCATTTGATCAAGGCGCCGCGGCGGGGAAGAATCCGCCGTCTTGGGCTGCATCCTTTTCCGTCTCAACCTTTATTAACTGCCCCCCTCCTCCCCGATTCTCCTCTGACATTTCATTGCAGACAACATCTGTGAAGTTGAATTTTGAGGCAGGGCCAAGAGAGACATTCCAAGGCCCTCGCTGACCTTTAGATGGAGCGAGTGTTTCTCGTCGGCTCCCTGGAACGGCTGCGTGGGGTTTTGCCATCGCTCCTGCCTGCCTGGGCAAGTCTCTTTGGTTCTCTCCCCCCGCCCGCTTCCCTCTTGCCATGTGTAAATACCGGCCAGCTCAGCCGCACTACCACAAACGTTCAAACAATGCACGGTGCTAATTGACGCGGGAGGGTTGGCAGGGTGTGGCGTGAACACCGAATTAGGAGCTTTATAAATAGGCTCTTGCATTCTTTCACGGTACAGCTGGCTCCTGTGTGGGGCAGCACCCCATCTTTACTCCTTTGGTTTCTGTCAGCCCCAGCAGAAGCCACTGTTACCCTCTCGGGCAGAGGGATTCCCACGCAGGTGCTGAACTCTCCCATCTCCAAAGCAGCAGGGTGTGGTGGCTGGGGTTACTGGGACTCCTTGGTTCTTCTAGCTCTGCCACTGATGCAGCACGTGACCGTAGCCATGTCACATCGCCTCCTTGTGCCTCAGTTTCCCCTCCCTACAACTTCCTAATCTTGGTGTGAAGGCTTAATGTCTGTAAAGAGATCCTCAAATCAGCAGCACCTTATGAGTGCAGAGTGTTACTCTTAAATAGGCTCATTTCCTGGTCCACTGATCTAGAGACCTTCCGTTTCCCGAAAGAGACCGACTGCTTGGAGAAGGGCATTGGACACACAAGGGGGGAGATTGCCTGGGACAGAGCTTCTTACAGACCCAGACCAGTTTTGTCCCTTCATTTCTAAGTCACCTGTCCCCCCAAACACTGTCTCAGATGAGAGGGGTCTCGAATGCAAACATCAGATGAGCTTTTTGGGAACTCCCTGTGCTGTTGGCAGCTGGGGAGTGGGGCTCCCCTGACAAGTTGGTATTGGGTTCTTCTGGGGAGTGGATCAGCACCCAGCTGTGGCATGCCAGCGAAGCCGTAGTCCTGCATGGCAGCTTGGCACCAGTGTGGTCATCTCACTGAGATGACTTAGGCTTGGACAAAGCTACCTGGCCTGTTGTCCCCAGTGGGGAAATTGTGTA